AACATTTTTTTTTATTTTATAAAAATAAAAATTTCTTTGTTAAAAAATATATTTATAAGAAAATAAAAAAATAAAAACGTAAAAATGTTGATCAATAAAATCTCAAAAAATCTAATTTTTCTAAAAGAAAAAAAATACATATATGGTATAATGAATATTGATTTAACTAAATGATTATTAAATATTTTATCGATAAATTCACAATTCTTATAGTAACTATTTTCATCTTGCAGTTCTTGTAACAATACTTTTAAAGCATTATTTGTCTTTTTATTTTTTTTTACTTTTTTATTTAACTTATCTAATTCTGTTTCAATTTGTTCTTTTAATTCTTTATTTTGTTTTATTAAATCATCCTTATCATTCTTTAATGCATTATTAATGTTTAACAATTCGATATTTTTTTATAAATATTCAGAATTTTCTTTTAATACATTAATATATTTTTCTTTTAAATTTTCACTTCCTGTTTCAGTCATAATAAATAATAAAATAAAAAATAAATATCCAACTTATTTATAGTATTTTTTAATATGTTTAGAGTGTGTACATTTGTTAAATTCTGTTTTTTTACAAATACTATATCTGATTTTCTTAGTTAGTTTATTTTTATTTCTTTTATGTTTTTTAAGTAAAATATGTATAAGTTTGTTATATCCTATCATATTAATACCTAATTTTTTACAAATAGAACATCTTGATTTTCTTTTAGCTTCAATAACAGTAAACAATATAAATAAAAAAAAAAAACAAAAATAAAATCTTTTTTAGTTTCATTTTTAATATAAAAAAATGAATATCGAATTGTTATTTATAGTTTATTCATCTTTTTCATATTTAGATAGACTATCGATTAATTCTATTAATTTATACAAAAAATTCTCAGAACATATATTCTTTAATTCTTTTAATTTAACTATAAATTCTTGTAAATCTTTTGATTTTCTTATACAATCATATGTTAAATATGTTTCAACTGCAGGTAGATAAGCTTTACGAATATTCTTTTTACAATTATTAGCTTGTTTTACCTTATAGTTATTAGTACAAAAAATAGAGATACAACAAAATGATAATTTATAATATTTTAACTGTTCAAGATTTTTCATAAAAAAATTTTGAATACATTCATCTTCTGTTTGATAAATTGGTTCTTCATTATGATTAGACATTTTTTTTTAATTTATTATTAATTTTTTTTTACTTTATTTATAATTATTTTGTTTGGATAAACCTATAAATATAATTATAGTACAATCAGATAAACTTTTTTAAAATAAATTTATTTTGTAAAACTTTAAAACGTAAATTACAAATATATAAATTTATACTACAATTGAAAATTTCTTTATATATAAATAAAATAAAATAAACAAATTAAAAAATTATACAAATTCTTTACCAAAAACTTGTGTCTAATATTTTTTAAAATAAGCTATACCCATATGTTTATAGTTTTTATTTAATATATTTTCATGATGACTTTTAGAATTAATCCAACTAATAATAAAAAAAAAATTATAATTGTTTCTTAAATTATTAAAAATAAATTATTTAAAAAAAAAAATAGCCTTTGACTACATCATGTTTTTTTTCATAATTCTATGCAATATTTTCTCTAATGTAAGAATAATTATAATGTTGTTTTTTAATTCTTACACCTAATAAACCAGATTCATTATCATGTATTAATTTATTTTTCTTTATTATATATTTATTGTGAAATTTTACAGCTTTATTCAAACAACTATAATAAATAAATATTATTATTTTATTATTAATATAAATATAATATAATATTATAACTTACTCATCTAATATAAGTAGTTTAAGTTCTTTTTTTCTTTGTTCTTTATTTACAAAATTAAGTAATAAAGATTTATCTAAAGTCTTTTTTTTTTTTGTAACTATTTAAACAAAAATATGAACTTTTTTTTGGTTTTTATAAATTTTATTTATTTTTTTTTTGTTATTAAGGCTACTTCCTTGGCCGATTAGATTTTTATTAGTTTGTTATTATGGAACTATTACATGAATAGTTTCCTAAGGTTTTAAAGTTACATAATGAGTGTACAACAAGCCACACATACAACTTTAGTCATTGTCTAATTTAAGTAGTCTGCTATACAGAC